GGCCATGTCTACGCTAGGAAGAATGGGCTCTTTTAAAAACAGGTTGGCTAACACACCTTAAAATCCTAGCACAGATAAGGCGGTTCTAGTTTTAACACGGTAGCTGGTCAAGGTAAAGCCTAAAGGTAGCTTGGGGTTTACGTCAACCAGCTAACAAGTGTTAAAACTAGAACTTCTCTGCCTAGACTAGGATCTTAATAAATGTTAAAAACAACTTTTTCCCAGTCAAGTGACGGCCGAATAGGATAGGTGTCTTGTTTTCTCAGTGGGTGCTGGGTCAAGGCCCATAATTCATTGTATGATTGTGGGGAACTGATTCTGGAAGCTGCCTGTTTCATGTTGACCTCCCCCACATGGAAAAATCTAGCACATCCATTGCCTCTTGGAGTCAGTAGTGAGCTGCTTATTTCACCCTGCTCTTTGACCAGTTGCTGGGCTGCTGTGATTGAGAGTGTAGGGAATGACTTGAGACCTTGCCTCCTCAGTCTTTGAAGTTCAGCCTTAGGCGTTATAATGATTTCATGCCTAGCAGGGAATAGTCCAGCATAATCAGTGGTAGTCTTCTGCTTTGCCTTAACTCAGCTTTTCACAGGCTTCCATTCTGACCCCACCCCATCTGCTTGCTTGTACAGTGCCTTCCTCTGTGTTTATACAGAACCAAGATCTTTGCTGGAGACAAATAATATATAAAATACAGAACTACATTTGAGTGTCTCCTTTAAAATAAATGTTTTATTACCATGCTCTATTGTGAAACAAAATGAACTAGAATCTTTGCATTATACACTGCAGGTCCCATTTTCCAGTTCATCATAGCTTTTCTCACCAGATGGTCTTGTTTTCTCTTATGCTGAGAACAGTTCCAAGAGGATTGTGTGAGGCAACTGCTCTTGACATTTCATTTTTCAAAAGTCTTTTTGTTTTGGAGTGATCATAGCACTTATTGTATGGCAATTTTTGAAACCAAATGTGTTTACATGTCATTTTCTTTTTGATTGCCTGGCTTTTTTATATAAGCTTTACTAAATATGTGTGGGTTTGGAATTTGAACTCTTCCCAAAAGAATGGTCATGAAAACAACATCAAGGTCATAAATTTGCACTTGTGAACTAGTTGTACATGTTTTGCAGAACTGCACAGCCATTGCTGCAAGAGATTTTGCTGCAGAGTCGATGTGAAAAATAAATTTGCTCTGATTAACATGACCCTGATCTACAGTATAGTCTAATATTGCAACCCTCTGCATGTATTGCTACTGTCTGAACCCCACTATTTCCGATCAGTCATCTGTCTTCCTTTATAGTAGTAATATGTAAAAACATGAAATGGAAAGGAAAAGTGTCTCAAGCACTATTGTTAGCTCTTTGTCCAAGGATGATTTATATTGTTAACCTGGAGCTCTTGGTGACAAGTATTGGGGGAGGAGAGAGAATAATTTGTGGTGTTCTTCTCTTCTCTGACTAGTGGGGGAGGACACTCAGAATGTAACTGCCATCATTATTTTCATATTGGTGCCCTGTAAAAAAGAGATGTTAACATACTGTTGGGAGGTTGTTAATGGCTTGATGCAATCACTACTGTTTATTTCCCAATTAGTTTGATATCTCTAAGAGGGAACCACAGAGGATTTATAGATTTAATAAGGTGCATAAATTACTATGAATAAATAATAAAAGGTCAGATGAAAATGAAATGACACCTGTGTACGCACTTTGCTTTTCAATGACGATGGCTGGAATTCTGGTTCCATGCTCACAGCTTGAATAAATTGGCATTGTGTCGGGGATGAAAATATCACACATGGATGGAAGCACTGCACCTTGGCACTTTTATGCAGCTAACCTTTAGAGCCAGCGAGCTAAGGCCCAATGCTGCTTGACTCTTCCACAGAAGTTTTGTGGCTGTTGAATCTATACAGGTACTGGACTCGCTAGCCATGCCCTCGTCACTCCCTGGGCTGTCCCAGAGAGCTCTCCTTTCTTGCTCTGTCAGATAGCGAGAGACTGCAGAGTTTAGATCCACAGTAGAACTGGCCAGAAAATGGAATTTCCTTCCAGCAAAAGTTTTGAAGGGGGGTGAGGGAATGAGGTGGGGAATCATCATGAATTGGAATGAAAAGTCAAACATTCAAAATTTTTCTCAGGAAAAACATTTGTTTCAGAATATTGAAGTTTCCCTTGAATGCTTAAGGAATTTTATTTTTGTAATAAAACTGACCTCAGATTTTTATTTTAAAAAATTACTTTTTACTTGCCCTTCCCTCCTTTCATTTATGTATGTATAATTTTGGTTCTTAATTTCAAAGACTTCACACTTATTGCTGTAGAACACAAAGAACTGTGATGTCAAATATGGGTTTTATATTTCATCTTATTCCCAAATAGGGTGACCAGACAGCAAGTGTGAAAAATCGGGACAGGGAGTGTGTGTGTGTGTGGGGGGGGTAATAGGAGTATATATAAGAAAAAGACCCCAAAATCGGGACTGTCCCTATAAAATCAGGACATCTGGTCACCCTATTCCCAAAGGCCTTTTCTTCTGCAGATGATGAGCATCTGCTCCTAGTGATGTAGAAACCTGATTCACAAACCATGATCTTTGATTGGTATAGTTTAGAAATTATTTCTTATTTTGTGCCCTGTCTCTAGGGATTGTATTGCATAGCATTAGTATAACCTTCCAAATTTCTTTAACGTTTTAACATTCTGAACTCTTTGGAATTACATTTTTGATCTCTTGTACCCAATATAGATTGCCCCTTTTATTATTATTATTCCCATTTGAGAGAGAAAATATTGAGACACAGAGAAGTTATGAGTCTGTAACTGAAATAGAATCCAGGAGTGAAATTCTGGCCCCATTGAAGTCTTTAAACACAAGAGCATTCAAACAATACATGCTTTCTATACATATGAAAGTTCTGCTGCACCATTGCCATCCTGACAACGAGGAGTCCTGTGGCACCTTAAAGACTAACAGATTTATTTGTTATAAGTATATTTATGCCTGTATCTGTAATTTTCACTCCATGCATCTGAAGAAGTGGGATTTTTTTACCCACGAAAGCTTAAGCCCAAATAAATCTGTTAGTCTTTAAGGTGCCACCAGACCCCTCGTTGTTTTTGTGGATACAGACTAACATGGCTCTGATACTTGATTCCCATACTGGGATCCTCTGTTTTTTTGTGTGAAGAGTATTTAAACATTTTGTTTACTTTTTATTAAAATAGGTTATAATGTGACACTGTTTTAGGATTTAGTCACTTTACAGCTGCACCAATTTTTATCCTAGATTTCAGAATTCACGTGCAGAGAGGTAATTGTACCTTGCAAAGATGAGTAATACAGATCAAATTCTTCAGTACCATTGTTATTTGTTGAGCACTCACTCTGTGTTCAGTGCCATATACTTCATAATGACCCAAATCCTGTTCCTCTTACTCATGCCAAACTACTCTTGATTTCCATGAGTAAAATCAGGAGGATTTTATCCATAAAGCCAAGTTTATCCCTACCATCACTTGGGTTCAATTTAGTTCATGATCCTTGCTTGCAGAAGCATACAAGGTAGACATAGACAATACAATAGAACCGTGTGTGTGTGTGTGTGTGTGTGTGTGTGTGTATATATATATATATACACACACACACACACGGTATATATATGCCTAATGGAAACTCATTAGATGTTAATGGTATGGGAAACGTATGACCTTTTCTATCAGTTTAATACAGTTTAATCGATTTAGGAGCAAAAGCTGTTTACATTTGGTTTTTGTTTTTAAGACTTCCAGCGCCTTGTATTCCTCTAAATACATATGCACTGGTTGTGCTCAATTGCCCGTCACAAATCTGTAATGGGTGTTAATGTGGTGAGCTCTTGCTGCTCTGACTGTTTAAACCAACGCAGAACAGCTGCAATACCTCGGCACGGCAGGAGAGCAAAAGAACCCTCTAGTTATTAGAAATACATTTGCTGCCATGTGGAGAACGTCAGTGGTAATTGAATTGGAACTTAAAAATTACTCCATCTTTTTGTAAAAAGTAATGTCTTTTTTTAAAACTTCCCTGGGCATCAACCAACGATGGGAAAAGCAGCCAGGGTAATTTGACATAAACGCCTTACATGGAGTTCCAAAATGAAAACAAAAATTTTTCAAATAAGCAATGCATGTGGGAAGGAAAGGGATGCTAGGCAGGAATTAGGAGAAATCTTTGGGAGGAAGAAGTAATAAAATTAAAGTCCAAATAAAAACAGATATAAAAATAATTTAAATTAGTTGGAGATGCAACCTTGCCATTCTGTTTGGGAGACCTAAAATCAAGATCCTGACCTCTTCCATGATGTGCTGGAGATGAATCCTTAGGGCGTCACAGAACCCACTCATTAACATTCTAGTTGAGTCCAGTTCTGGGCGCCACATTTCAGGAAGGTTGTGGACAAATTGGAGAGAGTCCAGAGAAGAGCAACAAAAATGATTAAAGGTCTAGAAAACATGATCTATGAGGCAAGATTGAAAAAAATGGGTTTGTTTAGTCTGGAAAAGAGAAGACTGAGAAGGGACATAACAGTTTTCAAGTATGTAAAAGGTTGTTACAAGGAGGAGGAAGAAAAAATGTTTTTCTTAACCTCTGACGATAGGACAAGAAACAATGGGCTTAAATTGCAGCAAGGGAGGTTTAGGTTGGACATTAGGAAAAACTTCCTAACTATTAGGGTGGTTAAGCACTGGAATAAATTGCCTAGGGAGGTTGTTGAGTCTCCATCATTGGAGATTTTTAAGAGCAGGTTAGACAAACACTTGTCAAGAACGGTCTAGATGATACTTAGTCCTGCCACGAGTGCAGGGGACTGGACTAGATGACCTCTCGAGGTCCCTACCAGTGCTATGATTCTATATTTATTCCCACTAGTTGCATGTTCTTTATTTGAATTGGGAACGATGAGAGAATTTCACTTAAACTCCTAACTTTGTTATTTTTACATTTGTTTTTAATAGCTCTTGATCCATCCAAAGACCCATGTTTGAAGGTAAAGTGCAGCCCACATAAAGTGTGCGTCACTCACGACTATGAGACTGCTATTTGTGTAAGCCGTAAGCAGCTGGTACACAGGTAAGGATGCACTGTCATTACATTCTATTATGCCCATGTAAAGTTCCATGGACACCACAATTAGAAAACTCAAAAGAGAACATTGAAATAGATTCTTGAGACATTCTTTGAACAATTAAATTACATTTGCTTTTGTTGCTGAGTATAACATTTACATTTATAGTATCAGAGGCTAGAGCAGGGTTGGAACTGTTCCAGAAAGATCAGATGTTTTGGAACACACGGTACCGTAGGGTGAATTGTACACTGCAGCATACCTACAGCCTAGCTCTGGAAGAAGTTTGTTCAGACAACAAACATGGTGCATAAAAGCCTGAATTCATAAAATATGAAAATGTTCCAGATGCTGTACACTTCTACAATAGAAATGAATTAAGTATAAACAATTAACAGCAGTAGCAAACATAGGGAATTTCTGGTTTTGTTTTAATAAGCAAAATCTGTGCTTATTAGTAAGTTAAGGTTGGAGGTTTTGATGGTTCTAGGAAGAGTAATCCACAGATAAATCACAAAATTACAGAAAGCTCCAGGTCCCTGAATGATTAAATTAAGAGCAAATTAAATAGCAGGTACTTTAAGAACTTTGGGATTTCCAGATGAAACTAAGGCTTTCTTCGCTGCAGTGTCAGCTGGAGTTATCTACACTTGAGGTAACTTCTCCTGAGTTAGCCTAACTGGAGTGAGAGCCATTACACCAGGGGTCGGCAACCTTTCAGAAGTGGTGTGCCGAGTCTTCATTTATTCACTCTAATTTAAGGTTTCGCGTGCCAGTAATACATTTTAACGTTTTTAGAAGGTCTCTTTCTATAAGTCTATAATATATAACTAAACTAATGTTGTACGTAAAGCAAATACGGTTTTTAAAATGTTTAAGAAGCTTCATTTAAAATTAAATTAAAATGCAGAGCCCCCTGGACCGGTGGCCAGGACTCGGGCAGTGGGAATGCCACTGAAAATCAGCTCACGTGCTGCCTTCGGCATGCATGCCATAGGTTGTCTACCCCTGCGTTACACTCTAAAACAAAGCTCTAGCTGCAGTGTTTGGATTTGCAGCACCAAGTGGCAGTGTCTCCACTGTATTACAGAACTCCACTTTTAACCCAGACCTGCTGATCGCTGGGGAGCTCCAATTTAAAGCACCAGTTAACTCGAGCTAGAGACTTCTGTGCGTGGACTGGAGTCAGGTTAAGGGCTGTACTCAAGTTATATCTTGAACTAACACTGCAGAGGAGACAAGTCCAAAGGGACTTAAGCCTCCAGATCCCTTTGAAATCCAGGGGGGCTTAGGTGACTGGCTCCCCTGAAAATTCCACCCCAAAGGACAAGTTGTAATAGACATTGAAAGATAATCAGAAAAATAAAACGGAGTAAGAAAATCTTGAACATCAGTAAAGGGACTTTAAAAATCAGTGTGACTTTACTGGATGCAGGTGGGAAAGCTTTAAGGTAGGATGAAATATCCTGTGATCTTGGAGTATTTCTGTGATTGTTGGCTGTCCAATGCTGATGCTTCTGAGCCAAGATACATTCGCTTGCTCGGTAAAACATATTTGTCATAATCAAGCTTCATTCACAAGGATTGCAAGATGCTTCCTACAAAAGGATGGGATCGAGCTGGCATGACAGAGCTATGAAATGCTGATGGCTGTGCAGAGATAAACCTGGAGCAATAGGCTAAACTTTTAGTATTGGTGGAAAGTGTCAAGGCTGTATTGTCAAATAGAGTTTCCAGGGGAATACACTTTTCAGGGGGTGCCTAGGCGTGTCAGTAAAAATCGGCTAGAGGCATTCAGTTTCGTACAATTATGTCACATCCAATATTTAATAAATATCAAATAATTAGAAAGACCTCTCAAGAATGTTGTCAAGAATGGAAAAGACTTATGTGACTACTCACATAAGTAACGTTACTCACATATGTGTTTGCTGGATCAAGGCCTTAACTTTTGCAATCTGTTCTCCGATTTCTTTCGTACAGTTAGGGAAAAATCCTTCTTTGAAGAGCATTTTGTCCAATACATAAGTGAATTCTGGTAGCATTACATGACTCAGACAAATAAAATGGTTTTCTTGAAATATATTTTGCCTTATCATACAAAGCTAAAGTGGACAAAGTAGTATTTTAAACCTGCAATTTGGAGCATAAAATGAAGCTTGTAAGATTAAGTGCATGGTTGTATGTAGTGCTTATGCTACCAGGAAATTTTACGTATTATGCAACTGCATGTCACACCTCAGAAGAAATTGAAGCCCTTGTATATCACGGGTATAAATAAAATACATGTTGAGCAAAATAGTTCCTGGGCTATTTCCAATATTTGTTGTCTCAGAAGCAATCAGACAACTTGGTTAAAGTGGCCCAGCAGGAACGGTACGAAGTGGAAGCTGCATGTCCCTTTTGTCCAGAAATCAGTCCCAAGTTTATGTGATCTCTCTAGCATTCCTGTACTGCCTGCAGCCATTTCAGGTCAGCTTTGAGTACCACTGTAGCTATGGTGACTGTTTTTAATGCTTTTTCCACCTTGCTTTGAAAAAGTCTTCAAGCATTTTCCACCAAGTTTTGTAGACCTGTGAACATTCCTATTGATGCACAGTAGGGGTGTGTGTGTCACAGAATAGCTCTTACTCTCAAAATCTCCAGCTAGCTAATTTCCTCAGAGGGTAGAAATATCAGTGAAGAAAGTATCTAGCCAAATTCTTTGAGGACTTAAATCTGTTGACCCAATGGACAATAGAGAATTTGGCCCTCGCTCTCTGTATTTTGAGACTTTGTGTTCCTTTGGCTGTGCCTGACCAGAATATTATATTAGAGAGACAAGGTGAGTGAGGTAATATCTTTTATTGGACCAACTTCTGTTGGTGAAAGAGACAAGCTTTTGAGCTTACAGAGAGTTTGAAAGCTAGTCCCTCTCACTAACATAAGTTGGTCCAATAAAAGATATTACCTCACCCACCTTCTCTCTAATATCCTGGGACTAACACAGTTACAACACCATACAGAATACTGCATGTATGATATCAGTTTCATTTATGCCCATATAAATCAGGAGCAACTCCAATAGACTCAGTGTAGTTACACCAGTGTAAATCCAGTGTGGCTGAGAACTGGGCCCAATCTATCTGTATATATAAATTAGCAGATATGAAATAACACAGCATCACAATGATTGTACAGTAACTCCTCACTTAGTCGTCCCAATTAATGTTGTTTTGTTGTTACATTGCTGATCAATTAGAGAACGTGCTCATTTAAAGTTGCGCAATGCTCCCTTATAACGTTTGGCAGTCGCCTGCTTTGTCCGCTGCTTGCAGAAAGAGCAGCCCGTTGCAGCTAGCTGGTGGGGGCTTGGAACCAGGGTGGGCCGGCAACCCCCGATCAGCTCCCCGCTCCCCTAAGTTCCCTGTGCAGCAGCCACCCAGCAGGCTAGCAATTGCAGCTATCCCTCCATGTGCTGCTCCTGCCCTCTGCCTTGGAGCTGCTCCCGGGAGCCTCCTGCTTGCTGTGCAGGTGGGGGGGATAAGAGAGGGGGCTAATGTCAGGGTGTCCCCCTCCCCTCTGCCCCCCACTTACCCCATCTCTATAGAGCAGGGGAACAACACAACAGGGTTCAGGAGAGAGGGAGCTTGCTAGCAGCAGCTGCTGTCTCAACTTGCTGATCTACTTAAAAAGCAATGTACTTAGAGTGGAGTCAGCGTACTTAAAGGGGCAATGCGCATCTCTCTCTCACACACACGGTGTGTGTCTCTGTCTGCCATGCTGTCTCCTCTTCCTCCATTTGTGCTGCCTTGTAGAGTGTGAGGCTACATTAACGGCCATGTGTTAACCCTTGAGGGCTCAGCCGAGTGCTAGTTCATCATTTAGCAGCAAGGCATTCCCTGGGAAATATCCCACCCTCTTCCACCCTCTGACTTCACCACCTCAACTAAGTTTCACAATCATCATTGCTGTGTATAGTATTAAATTGTTTGTTTAAAACATATACTGTGTGTATGTGTATAATAGATACAAGTGTATAAATTATAAATAAAAAATAAATAAATTAATGAAGATATCCTATCTCCTAGAACTGGAAGGGACCTTGAAAGGTCATCAAGTCCAGCCCCCTGCCTTCACTAGCAGGACCAAGTACTGATTTTGCCCCAGATCCCTAAGTGGACCCCTCAAGGATTGAACTCACAACCCTGGGTTTAGCAGGCCAATGCTCAAACCACTGAGCTATCCCCCCGCCCCCCCCCATGCATAATGTGACTAACTTTCAAACCACCCACAGCAATACCCAATAATGCTGTTTCGTTTTCTTTGTGCTGAGGTGCACACTTTGTAAGCCACTACAGTAAGTTGGTAATAATGTATAAAATTGACCTTGATGGAAGAATATTCATTTACACAAGCTAAGGATATGGTCCTGAGACTTCTTACCTACAATATATGGCATCATAGGCATGCATAATGTTTACAAAGCACATAGATTAGATAAGTCTCTGCCCCAAGGAGTTTACCATCTAAATTGGGCAGACCTGGTACAAACAAAGGCGGGGGGTAGCAGACAGTCGTAGCAGATCACTGACTGAAGAATACCTAAAAGAGATGAGTTGGAAAGTCTTCCTGTGTGTTAATTGGTTCAACTATACACAAAACACAGTAAATAGCAACTTAAGAGATATTTACATATCTACATTGCATTTTTGACATGACACTTCACAGAATTTCAGCCTGCTTCTCTGCTTCTCCTGTGAATGCCTCTCATAAGAAGGAAAGTTCTTCTGGGAAACACAGAAAGGACAAAAAGAATTGGCAAAGGGGTAACAACCATGTTAATGTGACGAGGGCTTTGAAAATGTTTTATTGGACCCGTGTAATTTGTGATTGCTAGTTAGGTCATCATCCCAGAGTGATATATTGTACATACTTCCGTACTCATGAAAGTCAAGCTGTTAGCTCAGTATTCTCCAGTAGTACTGACCATTGTTATGGAGAAAAGCCAGGACTGAATGCCTCA